ATTCTGACATGCTAACCAACAACACTTTGTACAAATAGATGAAATGTCCAGAAAGGTTCTGAAAAGAGTAAAATTGGACAGGTTTAACATGCTAGAGCTTAGGATTGAGACATGAGTCTGACTACATGTTAAAGTAGACTTACTTGAATGAACGAAGGACTGAGACTTGTTTTCTTTATTCTTATTTAAGTGTACTTACTAATAAGATAATTATGTATTGAACAATAAATCAGTTGAAAAGAATGTACGATTTCACCTATTTATGTCTGTGGGTTAGTTAATTGTTCACATGTAATGTGTGTATGACTGAGATTTGCATCTGTATACAACGTGCTGTGCCTTAGGTGTGTGTGCTCTTTTAAACATGCACGGTTTAGTAAACAGTGAAATGTTACAAAATCTTTAACTATAGTGCGTTTAATAGTCGTACATATTGGCAGATCTCGCGAGAAAAAGATATTTTGATGCATAATGGTTTTATTCGACATTTCAGCAGTCCTTTTGAGTTGACTGGGAGGCATAGTTTTGTATCTAGATATAAACTGAAGGAATGTAAGCCAGCTTCAGACAGTAATGCTATATTTCATCCTTTAAAGTTCAGTAAATGTCCTATTATCATATTATAGTTACCAATGTTTCACCATAATAAAACAATAATGAGTAGCTACAACTATAACAGAATAGACAGATGTGTGTAAACGTGAGTGGTACTTTGTGAGTAATTTAAGAGAACAGGACCCTGATGATGTAGTCTTACTCTCATAAGTCTACATAGCTATGAAGAAAAAAGGTAACATGGTTTTTCAGAGGTGCCATCAGAAACTGTTGTGCAAAGTCTGTCAGTAAAGAGTTGAAAATCATAAGTCTTAAGTTATGATGTGAAGTAGTTGTAGAATTCAAGCTAAAGAGTGTTATAGCTTGAAATTCGATTTTCGGTTCTATTTTCAACCAGTCCTTTCTTGCAGTCCATGTGACATAGAAAGGCAAATCATTGAGGTTAGGGTGTTTTATATAGTAGCAGTTGGTTTGTTGGATAGAATGTTAGAAGTGCACATTTCCCAAAGTACTAACTTCCAGTTTATCACAAAAAAGCAGCTACAAGTTGCCAGGTGTTAGATCTTCACATCTGCAACTTTATACCTCATTTATTTTAAATTCACATGTTAAGGAATTAAAACACACGACACAATCTTTGTATAACTATTGTTTCATTAGTGTACATTTTCCTCTTGGTGTAGAAACATGGATATGTACTGATATTTAACATAATATACTTGTTTGAATATTGTATGGATTTATGAATTATACACAAGCCAAATGATTAAGCTAATTATTAGAAGTTAGAAAAGACAAAGACCAGAAATTTTTGACTGTTTGAACATAATCAAAACTGCTAGATCATTAGTACAAGAACAAAGAAACAGTTTTGTAAGCTCATTATTTAAAAACATGAAAAAAATAAGTGTATAAATTATCTGAAGGAATTGGAAAGTTGTTCTCATAAGAAAAACTCACCTGAGATAAAGAGCAACAAATTTGTTACATGTCCATCAGTTATCATATCAAGTTGTTTGTCTGAGAGATCAGGTGTTTCTGTTGGGGAAAATATTCATGTTTGTTTCTGTTAGGGAGTGTATATCACATTTGTGAAGAAGAATTTGTTTTTTTTATTCATGCCATTTTCTGCTTTGTTATGAGCCTGTTTGGTTTAAGGGTTCATTTACTACAGTGCAGTTTTTTTTATTACTTACATATTTGTCCGGCACCATAGAACAATGAAGTCTTTGGGAAGATGTATTACACTATCTATAGAAGGCTTTTTACAGGTCATCTTGTAATATATTGAAAAGACTTATTACACTGTCTATAAAAGACTATTATGAGTTATCTTGTAAGAGTTTATTGGATATTCGTAGCTACTTTTCTTTGTCACTGGAGCCATGTTAAGTTGTAGTAGACTTATCGTTGTATGACATCAGTTAATAATACAGCTCGTGATGGATCTGCCATTTTCTCCACATGACTGGTTAGTTCAGCTTCAACTGTAAAAAGTAAGACAAATTTGTGGTTTCAAAATTATAGCTTCTTCCCATACAACCATATAGAAAGACACTAGGCAGTTCTTCCCATACAACCATACAGAAGGGCACTAGGAGGTTCTTCCCATACAACCATACAGAAGGACACTAGGAAG